CAGTGAAGGAGGAGACATTTTGTTTCCATCAGGAAAACTTTAGAAGTGAACAACATTTGTATATTCAGACATTCAGGGTTTTTTAATGAGGTAGGAGTAGATGACTTTATACTTTTTGGGCAGAAAAAACTTATGAGACACACATTTTGTTTCTTTAAATAAGGAACTATCTGATAAAAGAATTGGCACATAAAAGCAGTTTAAGCAATCATTCAATGGCAGCCTATTTTACAGTTACTTCATCCATAACAAGGGGACACCTTCATCTAAACACATGACCTTTATTAAAAAACGTTTTTACTCCTTTCCCTCATGTTCCCTTCAGGCCACAGGCGTGAGAGAGGACCAGCTCCTGGTCACCGTCCTCCCAGGTTTACCTACAGCAGCAGAGTTTTTCCTTCTCCCTGACAAACAGTTAACAGAAGGGAAACCGGAGAAGAACTCTGCTCATTTAGATCAGGTGAGACAACAACTGTCTGCTGTTACTGCACCCTTTTTCCAGCCCCAGACAGTATTTGTGTAGGTGGATGTATTCCACCTTGTTATCCTCATTCTAATTCTAACGGAACGCCATGCACAAGTTTGAAAGTTTCCGTTTTCAGTTTCGTGAGTCATGTCTGATCCTCTTTTCCAGCAGCAGCTTGTCCAGTTAATTGCTCCCTGAAAAAATAAAATCCCTCCAAACTTTCAAGTTCCTCCTTCCTCCAGCAGATGTCAGTATTGATCCACTGAAGCATGTCCAGGTCTTTTCCACTAGTCTAATTCTAGAACCCGCCTGAGGAATCTCTGCAATAGACTCATCAATAAGCCTGACAAGTATTAACAAGTTATCAGGGGGAATGACTTTTAAACTCCCTCAAGTCACATCCTGTGGGGTGTTGAGGTGGGAGGGGGAGGGGGAGGGTGTCTCGAAGGAGCCTAAAAAGCCAGACAAAGAAATTGTCATGGTTGATCAGTTCACTAAATCAAGATGGACCGAATTAGCTCCGAGCCTTACGTAATAGATAATGACTGATAATAATGGCCGATCCGTGGGAAGAATTCCACGGGCATCTGTGGGGAGAGGGAAACTGGGAAGGAAATCAATTTGACTTTTCTCTTCCCTCCCCGCTCACACCTTGATCGCCTGGAAAGATCCTCTCGCCTGCAAGCCTGCAATAAATCTTCATTCAAGGTTGGCATTCTAAAAGTGTAGAGCGTGCTCTGCTTATTAGAATGTATAATAGATTTACTGACCCTGGTATACAGTGGGAAAAAGAAATTAGTCACAGCATAGTCTAAATTTAAACCGCTAAGAAATAAAAAGGGGAGGATGAAGCGCTACAGAAATTACTCATATCACAATTAATTTGGCAAACGAGGCAGATAAGATAAATGAAGCCTCTGTGGAGGAAAAAATGGAATCTGCACAGAGAAAATGGAAGATTTTGTTTAGCTTTGTGTCTTCTCTTTGCGGCTCCATATGCAGCTTGTTTCATGAGTCCAGATTGAATAGAGAAAAACTGTTTCATGGTATTGGAATATCGCTTAAAAGGAGGCACATTTCAGTTGGATTAGAGCCTGGGGATAGAGATTTATAATTGCGTGAATGAAAGGATCTATGTGGGGAAATGGATTGAGAGCAAATAAGATTGGACTCCAGCTTTCTATAGTTTACCTTCGGGTCAGGGAGATCTGTCTGATCTATATCAAAGTTAGATGTTCTCAGTGCAGAAGGTTACTTGCCAGTCTGGAAAGCAGAGATCAAGTGAGGCTGCATCCTATGCATTATGCATCACGGAGGAAAGGTCCCACAGACAAAGACTCTTACATAAACAGGGAAGCTCAGATGGTGCTGTTGGTGGAGACAGTGAGGTTTCTTTGGGTCACAGGAGCTTACGAATAATGTTCAGTGGTTAAAGATGCATCACAGTGATGTCAGTTTGATTCTGTGGTCTTTTTTATGCTGTTATATCCTTGTACTGTCCTTCAGTCAGTGTTGATTTGGGTCTACTGTGTATGCAACCATTTTACCTCTTTGTCGTTTCATTTTGTCTGTCTCAGGCAGTCATGTTATGATTTTATATAATATTCATAGGTATTTTTTTATTTGTGTACAACCACCTGAAAATAAGAACTGTTGTGTTTTTGTTAGCTTAGAATGAGCCGTCTACAGTAAACACTGGCTCTATAGGGCCTTTTGCAAGTTGTGCGGCCACCATAGTTTTTCCTATAGGCTTGGAACAGCAGGGCGCAATGAAAGGGTAATGAAATATTACACAATGGTCCTTTCAAATTTTCAATAGGGTGGCATGGATATTTTAATGGGTGGACAAAATATATGCGGATTTAATCGCAAACAATAACATAACAAAATATTTAAACTCAAAAACATTACATTATTGTGGCACATTAGGAAA